AATTAACTGGAAATTATCAGTAAGCAGTTTTTTTTAATGTTTTTACTCCAGTTTTAGTTGTTTTTATTCTTCGAATAGCAGTGAAGTAAGTAAGATTCTATTTGAACCAATTTTTATTCATTTTTAGGTTTGCTAAAATGTAAACTTTAGTCTGATGAGTTTTTTTTTAAATAGGTGCCTCTCTATTCGTTTCATCTATCTATTCGACGATTAATAAATGATTTTTTTTCTTGTTTTGAGAGAGGGAGAAATGGAAAGAGTAAGAATAAGTAGATTAATAAGCGATAGAGATAGACTGACAAGGAGTAGAGTACCTTAATAGAGCTGGGGAAGTGAGTCATACTCCACGGAAACGTCTCGTGTGGACCCCCATTTACTAAAGACCTTCCAGTCAACCCCTAAAATCTCGGCAATCAACATATAATGTGCCATTTGATTTCAATCCAAAATCAGGACAAAAAAACACTTGATTTCAAATATAAATGGAGATCTTGGAAGATCTTTAGGATTATTCTTATAATTGTACAGGTACATACCCACATCAAAAAAGGGATCATATATGTATATATTCATATGAATAATTCTAAAGACTTTCTAGACCCTAGTCCTTCGATCCCGAAAAAAGGGTCTGTTTAGGCACATTTAACACACGATAATTCTCAAAACTGATGAGACGATACGTGTTGAAAAGAGAGCGATGAAGAATAGGGATGGGAAGTTATCGTTACTTGGGTAACTGGTAACTCTTCTCCTCTAATCGAAACCTTCTATTTCCATGATAAAATCGCACAAAAAATGCGCTCATATTAAACGATGTTGACCATTATGATTTAATTCATGAGAACAATGCACGTAACGTTTGAATTCAGTAGAAAGAAAAATCGAGCTGAATAACATAGGTTTCAATGAAAACTATGTCATCCAACTTAGTTTTTGATGCTAAACAACGAAAAAACTAACGAATAGGAAATTCAGAGTGGTATCCAAAATCGAGCCATGTCGTTCAATATAGAGTATACGATGATTACAAGTGTTTTTTCAGCGAGACTTTTTTTGAGAAATTTGAACAATTAGTTTGGTAGAATATTTGAAATGCCCTCTATCTCTTTTTTAAACAGTGTATTGAGTTTTGTGCGTCTCAAATACAAAGTCTAAAAAACTAAGTGAAGCTTGACATAATAGTAGGAAAAGTTTTCAATGCTGAAGAAATCATCATATAAAATATTCTGTATATTTCATTGATTTGAGGCCAAAATACTCTTAGAACCTCTACTGTAGGACATCTTCTATGCAGTCGTGTGTGCCTATCTTCTGGTTTCGAAAGTAGTATTCGATACCTTTTGTTTATAACTAGTGTCTTTATTGGATGACAAAATGGTGATAATTGATCGTTTTGCAAAGCAGCGTTCTAATTATTTATGATGATGAGATTCGAATTGCATTATAATTGAAATGGCTTTCGAAGTCTCTCAAAACTTTGTAAGATAAGTTGAGAAAACTTCATTTCGAAGGAAAATACCGTATTTTGTTCAGTTCTTTTCGTGGAAACCGGTGACCGATCTTAGCTTCTTCTGAAAAATTGATTAGGCAGCTATTTTTAAATCAATGAAAACCCAAAGACCAGTTCTGATTTACAGACTTGATATGGAACTATTACAGATCTAGTAGTGATCGTTCCATCATGCACGTTCCTTCTAAAAACTAGAGAAGTTTTTCAAAAATATAGTGTTTCTTAGGCTATGATGGATGAAAGTTTTGGCCATTTTTCAGATAAATAATTACTTCATGTTATGAATACGTATAAAAAATGCCATCTATTATTCGTCTACGTCACTTTAACTGTATTTTTCATCGTCTTCATGCGACAACGATACATAACTTTCAAGCGCAATCTACTGGTTACGAAAATGGCTAGAGACGTTTCTTGTATCAAAGCCTCTAACAATACTATACATCTTAATCCTAATGTTTTAAACCGTTCACTCAATGCCTTAGCTGTAGACAAGAAAACAATTTTTGAAGAATGTCGAAGTTTTAGCCAAAAGTCTCGACTGCTGGGGCCCTTATTAAGAAATTCCAGTAATGGACAACTCTATTTTCCAACAGTTGCTGCAAGTTTACAAAATGTTCATCTGATTATGCGTTATTCACCTCGTTCCGAAGCAGAAGGAGGGCTGAACCTAACCGTAGCAACTTCATATTTGATATCAAAAAATTTACAGCGTTTGTCCCAGAGTCAGAGAAACAGAACTCGAATTACCGTGTTTCTAAGTGAACAGTTTGATACATACACTTACTCACGATTGGATGCCTGGTTTCGTTGTGTATATGAACCCTACACAAATTCTACAGTGATTATGCGTGCGCCAGCTGGCAATCAAAAGAGCTGGGAATTCTCAATGGATTACGTACAAAGGCATTCATTGATTGAACTCGACACAATCATCTTTCAATTGGAAAGCGATTATGTGTGCGAGTCTGATATGTTAGAAGATACCATTGAGTTCTTTGCTAGTCACAACCCCTGCTTCGTTCATCCGTCAGATTATCCTGATCGATACACAATGTCGATCAATGACGATGACAAGCATATTACAGTCGTTGCCGGACGCACAAGAATTTGGCGATCCATTACTTCGTCAACAGTGAGCTATGCAAGCCGATTGCGAACACTTGTTGCCTTTGCTGAGGTTCTTTTTCAGCCCAAAAATGACTGGGCTAATAGCAAACTGATTCGTAATCTAGGAGGTCATGCTACAATATTTTCAGCTATTCCTTCTCACTGTGCTCATCTTGAAGCTGTCTTTCGCAATGATGGTCCATTACAAGGTATATCAGTTGCACCCTTTTACAAGGATTGGTGGGCGATGGGGCGGCAAGCACTTGTCGAAGCACAAACTTATGCATCTTACCCTATCATATAGATGTGAGCTATATTTTCGTAATAAAAGGTATCAGCTTTCTTAGTTGTATTTCTCTCGATACTTTCTATTGTTTCACTTAGAACACCTAAAATTTATTGAAATTTCAAAAATTTCTATTCGGGAGTTGAGTGTGGTTGTGAGTTTCAGTTTTCTGCTCATCAATACCCATACCTTTGGCATTAATTTTTAGGAATTTTCTGAATTCGACACAGATAATTCGTCCGAACGCTTACTGTTTAGTATTGATGAATATTATGTGCGATGCGCTTTAATTTGTTATAAAAGCTGTTCTTGATATTAGTAGAAACCAATGTTACTTTCCCCTCTCTGGAAAAGATATTTTTACGTATATTGTAGTCTCTCAACATAATTTTGATTAGAAAAAACAACAAAAATCTAACTTGTATCACATAGTTTTTTTTGTCTTTATAAGTATATATTACAGATAATGTTATGATCAAATTTTTCGTTTATTATATAACAAAATTTTTCAACCTCTAACGAAAGCAATAAAAAATAGTGTATGAATTGGTAAAGAATTTCTTCGAAGCATTTTAACATGCATCATACTTAAAGTGAATAAGTGAAGGAAAGAAAATCTTGTTAGGTATTGATCAATAAAAACATTGTGATTGAATATGCAAAATAATTCAACTTTCCATAGCGTTAGTCTTACGAGAGGCCATTTGTCGGTGTCGGTTCATTGTGCAGCTCAGATATAGTATATATTGTAGACATTAGTGAATTATGTTGACTATCAAGAGGACTTTGCAGTAAATGAAGCATACCTTCTTTGATAACTTGGCATCTCGGAAAGATGTCGGTTAAACATTATGGAATTTTTCATGGAAGTTATCTAATTGAAATATTTGTGTTGGCTAAGTTTCAAGTCAAAATTTTCAACTATGACTTTTCTGACAAAGTAGGTGAAGACAGTAAATACTCACTAGAAACTTGTTGTGTCACAAGAAATAAACTACAAGCACGACCTCACTTGATAGTTGATATTGTTTACAAATGTTCACAGGATGCATTGCGTCTTGATGGTACCGCAAACACACATCAAGGAATGTTCTCTAGTTAGTTGAGAATAGAGAGAGTTTATCTCATGCTGAACATCGATCAGAATTCGATTTTGTTAAATAATCTTCGTCAGTTCAGGAACGAATTTGTATTTATCTGAAAACAAAATAGCTTGTATTTTTCAATTACAATATTAATATTGGTGTTTTACACTTCAACTGAATTCTATTGAAGTGCTGTTCATTCTAAGATTAAGTAAAAAAATCAATGAACGAGGGAAATCAGGAGTAGCAAACGAGAAGCGTAGCGGCGTAACCAGAGTTTTGGCGATGGTGGGGCTCAGCAACACTTAAATATCCGGTGGTAGGGCTCAGGTTACTGAGGTCTGTGAGGTGGTAGGGCTTGTGAAAGGATTCAGCTGACGATGCTAACACCGGTGGTAGGGCTGAGCCCCCCTGGCCCTACCTTGGTTACGCCACTGTGGCTTATCAATGACTCTTACTCAAACTGTCGTGTAATATACTGTTTAAACAATATAATTAATAACTATTCGCCATAATTCATTGGTGTAGTATAATTCATTTTTTTTTTATTAAAATCTTACATAAAATCATTTTTTTGTGTTAGGATCACCTTTTTCCATAAAAAACCTTTAATATTAATTATGATCTGTAGAAGACAAAGAAGTTTAACATTTTATTTAAAACTGCAAAATTTATTAGAAAAGATAAAATTGGGTTATTTCAAATCTGAGAGAAATTGAAATTTACTCTTTAAATATGTTGTTTATATTGTGATTGGAAAATTTTAATGAATTTTTATCTATTGCAGGAATAGTCTTTCAAACAATGTGTTTCTATTCAAACTCTATTTTTATAATTTAAAATGATATTCTTTCAAATCACAAGTCTTATTTGAACAAACATTAATTTCGATCGAGAGTATGTTTATTATGATGACCAAACATGAAAAATTAATGATTAGTTGTTTGGTTAATATATTTTTTATGTTATTAGAAAAACAATAGTTTGAATTGATGTAATTCTAGTACCATTAGTATGGATAAACATATCCAGGATAATAACCAACAAAATAACCGCCAACTCTAGGATAGCCTCCAACCATTTGTCCATATGTTGGATTTGGATTTCCACCCATTACATTATCAAGATATGTACCTAATGGACCTAAATTAAAAGAAATAGTTAAAGAATATTTGTTTTTCAATGAAGATTTTTTATGTATTTATCATTATTCATTTGAATAAAAATAAATTACGCTTTAGATTTTTCATAAAAATTTAAATTTTATAACAAATAATGACACAATCATTATCAAGACAATACTCTTGAAAATTATAAACGAACATATCATACGTAAGTATTAATTATATATGTAGTATCTACTAAACTTATTCAACAACGTTTATTTTGACTTTTTTGCGTTATCTTCATCAGAAAACAAAACAAATTCAAATAGTGATTCAAATAGAGAAAAATATATCCTCTAAGAATATAAGAAACAAAGCGCTTATCAGATTCCGAAAGTTGGGGTTCTCCGAAAACTGAACAGTCCCTTTTCAATACCTAGAACACACAAGTTTAGTTTTATTTAGAGTAAACGAAGCCATAGAGAAAACAATTTTTTATAAAATAACACGTTAATAGTAGAAAAACACATTCATAGACTTTTATAAGGTTGTCAGATGTCAACAAAAAAGGGTCGTTGAAAATTCGAAGATTATAAAAGTGGAAAATAAATCATAGTCTAATAATATTAGCGATAAAAATTTAGGATTCTTACTGTTTAATCCACCAGGAATATTTCGTTCAATCCACATATCAGATGCCAATTCTGCAAGTACCTGAGGATTGCCACCATACATATTTAATATGTTATCAAATGTGTAGAGTACCAAGAAATATTTCTGTGTTGATCAACGAAAAAAACTGATTTTATTGCACCTATTTATATACGATTTTGTTGTTATTTTTCGACGAAAAATATGAGAAAAAAAAGAGAAGTTTCTCAACCGTAACTATGAAAAATTGCGACGCAGTTACGCGTAGTTTTGATAAAAAAATCGAAGTGGCGCGTAATTACGAGTTTTTTTTCGCAACTATGCGTAACATCCTCACAATTTTGCGCAATTACGGGTTAAGGTGTAATTGCAATTACGTGATAATTGCGTCGCAGTTGCTAAAAAAGAGAGGACATTGACTTGATTGATGTTGATTGAATATACGTTTTTGCGCACCTATATACACCCATTTTATTTTGAGTGTATATTTAGGGTTTTTGCGCTGTTCTTTTATGAAATTTTTTCTGAAATAACGTGCGACGCAAAAGTAATGGCACAAAATCTTGACCAATATTTCACTTCGATAGAAAGGCGCTGAAAAAAAGCTTTTTTTATCAAATGATAGCGCTTTTCCTTTTCTTTCGAATAGTATATCATTTATTTTTATACTACGTCTATAAATGAAGCAGCATAATAAAAAAGAGAGGCACCCTTTAAAAAATTCTCCACTTTTTTGCAGAAATGTGGCGCAAAATGTCGATCCTTATATCTCTTCGATAAATATGTGCTAAAAAGAAAGCTTTGGTACCAATTTGATGCGAAAAAATTTTCTTCTCTTTCGAACGGTTTATGATTTATATTTAACATATGTTTATAAATGAAATGAGACAGAAAAGAAAGAGTAACACTCGCACAGTGAATTTGCAATTTTTGTATGAACTCGTCAAAATATATCTTATAGATAACAATTAATTATAATAACTGCCATCTGAAAGATGGCTTAAAGAACTTTGAAAAAGTGTAAATAATCACGTTTTACAAGAGCTTTTTAAAGAGTATAAAAAAATCGAATTGATCATTATCTATCAAGATACTGTCGATGATTTCATATTGAAAATCTTAAATTGTTTGCCTAAGTGTTTCTCTTTCTTTATTGTCTCATTTCATTTATGTACATGTGTTAAATATGAATCATATGTCGTTCGAAAGAGGAGAAAATTTCGCACCAATCGGTACTAATACTTTCTTCTTGAAACATGTTTATCGAAGAGTTATACAAGAAGCACAGAAGTCAACATTTTGTGCTGTTTTTCTGAATTTCACAAAAAATGTGGAATTTTTTTAAGAGTGTCTCCCTTTTTCATGATGCTGTTTCATTTATAGATGTAGTATAAGAATAAAGGATATACTATATTCGAAAGAGGAAGAAAAGCGCTATCTTCTGATAAAAAAGCTTTTTTTAGCACCTTTGTATTGAAGTGAAATACTGATTAATATTTTGTGCCATTACTTTTGCATCGTACGCTAATATATCAATGTTTGATACAATTATTGGTAAACGAGATGAAAAATCAATACAACGAAATAGTAAAAATAAAGAACTCCATATTCGATTACCAGAACTTACTTTTAGATGTTTGATGAATAGTGAACGTTATAAAGATGGTTGAAATAGTCAAGTAGAATATCCTCAAGTATATGTGACTAAGTTTTGAAGGATTTTTCCATTTTGAATGTAACACTCACGAATGGAAGCACAATTTTTAAATCGTTACACGCTCATCGAGTACTTTTGTAGATGTGCAATACCAGCGACAGAGAAAAGTGTGAATGCAAGTGTCGTGGGTTGGTGGGTAGGTGCGGGTCTTCTATTCTCTCAGAACGAACACCCACAGTCCATACCCACCCATATTCACATCCATACTCATACCTTCGAATTCTGCCATAAACCCATTTGTAAATTATCATCTCTATTTATTACGACTAATACTTTATGAGAAGTTAGAATAATACCATTTTGAATAGTGACAGGATGTTAACAATGAGATTATCAGACAAGTAACGGTAGTCGAAACGACTCGCTTGAACTTCGACTAAAGTCATTCGATCAATTTTGAGTATTCTCATCAGATACATAAATGATGAGAGTAATCCTGAATGTTGACTAATCGACTTCTCTTCAAATATGCAAGATTAAAATGAGGCGAACACTAAGAAATTGTCACTTAGTTCATTCTCTCTTCACCAAACTTTCGTTCTTTTTTATCCTAACGACCCGAAGTGTACTGAGAATATTAAACCCTATCTGATTTTTCTAGCTACGGTGAGTGGCTAGCCGCTACGACGTCTCAATCTACATAACTAACAGATGATCCAATTTTGTTTAACATATAGTAGAAACACTTTTGCCTGCCTTCCTAAGTTAACAAATATAAAAGAAAAATTCTCGATGAGAAACTCTGATGTTTATGCTTCACTGTGGCGTATTAAACCTAGTTTTGGTGCACTATCGACATCCTATCAGGATCCTCGTCTCGAAGCGTTAATAAAGTCTCTCGAGAATCATAATGGATCTACATATTTTATCTAAAGTGCATTTTTGGTCAATCTAAGAAAAATCGCATTACACCAAGGATCCTCGAAAGAACATTTTTTTAAAGCGTGTCAGCGCAAATCCATTCGGATTAAAATGTGGAACTCACAAGAGATGCTCTTACAGCCATAAAACGAATTTTTGGGATGCAGAAATCTCAATAGTTATAGGAAATACGTAGTTCAAATCGAATGCGCCTTTCAGTCTAGTCGATGATAGTATTGTCTATATTTTCTGTGTTTCTAGGCGCTCTTATTACTTATTCACTTGGCACTGCTGCTCTCGATGATTTTCTGTTTCAAGTCATTTTCGTTAGTCATCTTTTGATTTGTCTTCATTTCATGGTCACTTTCAAACGGTACTGTTGCTCGTCGAAACGTGCGTTGACTTTTCTGTTATTTCTCTCAACTTGTTACAGCACGCTCTTTTGTTTCGAGTCAATACTCGATCACTTTCACTGAACGATTCTGTCAGCAGCGTCTTACTTTTGCGGGCTTAGGTGTTGGTGTGGGTATGAGTAATCCTTTCGCCACAGTGATGCATCTATGTGTACAACCTACACCCACACCCTTAATATGGTCAAACCTATAATGACATATAAAATAATCGTTGACAAGTGTTATTGGCAAAAATAAACAACATTTTTAACGAAAGTTTCAATTCAAATTAAATTATTTTAAACACTTTTTGATACGTTTCTAATTTCTTTATTCGATATGTACGCTCACTATATGGAAAAAAAAATATGAAATTTTTATTTCTAAATGAGAACAGTACAAATGTAAATTTGCTACTGATAAAACATGTGGAAAACAAAGTGACATAAAACTGTTGTGTTTATGAATAACTTCATTTTTTTGGAATGTATTCAATAAAGGGCGCTTCTATTTGTAAGTGTCCATCTTGTGTTAAATGAGTTTCCAAATGATCAGTTTGTGTGCCCGGTGGAAGGGTAATCGATTTGTAAAAATAAGTTTTTTCTAAACATCGATTATCCTTTGATATGTGTTCACCTTGTATAATCAGATCATTATTTTTGACTGACACTTTAATGTGTTCTGGACGATAATTTTTCATAGGTAGAGCCATGTGTAATTTTTTTTTATGTTCTCCTGCGTCAACAACTTTTGGTGTAAAAGCTGATGTATGAAAATGATGATAGTTGAATGATTGATCACGATATTGACCATATGGATGCAGATGATGACTATCACTTGCTTGTGATGATGACTGAAGATAACGTTGTTGATGTTCACGATTACGTAGTGGTATATCCACAATCAGCAGATTATTTGGTGTTATATAAGATACCAAGTGATCTGCATCTAAATATTTAAATTAGAAATATAAATTAGAAATTTTGGACCATGATAAACATCTCACCAGCATGTTCATAAACAGCTTCAGGTAAATCGTATATTTTTTGTTCTTTCGTATTCTCACTATTACTATGATGATGCTTCTTTTTCGCTTCTATAATTAAAAGACGACCTTCAATTGTTGTTTTTATAGTCTCTGGATCAAAATCCGAGATATCCAGTTTTACACGATATTTTTCTCCATATATTGGTGATTGTAATGCTGGTGCAATCTTATGCTCGTGTTCTTTTTGCCGTTTTGGTTGATTAATCCAACGAAATGACATTGGTGTACTTAAATTAGTATCTGTCCATGGATCAAACAATTCAAAATCATTTCCAAAAGCATCCGAGTCAATTTGCTTATCATTTGAGCGACGACGGTAGCGATTCACTGGTAATGATGACATTGCCATTTTAAAAAGTCTCGAATAAGAATAGAATCTAGTTTAATTTAAAACTCTTTGATTATTGGAACTTCGAACTCACACTATCTTAGACACGATAAAATCTTTCTAATATCACTCAATGGAACTGTTCAGAGCTAATTTAGGATTACAGTTGTTTTGCTCTTATCTTCGTCACATGTCATGATCTAGGACTGAAAATTTTACCATCGACTTCTTAGTTCAGCCCCAACATATCCTATAAGTTTCAAGCGATTCGAATCTGCTCGACGCGAAAAAAAATTTTTTTGAGGTGGTTTAAATTTCGAAAGCGAATATCAGTTTTAAAAAAAAGTGTTTCTTACACTTTCAAAAGCTACGAAATTCTCTTTTGCTAAACCTGCTCAGAGTTGTTGGTTTCTCATGATAATTTGGGATTAATAACCTCCACCTCGTATCTTTCATACTCAAAGGCGGGGATTGGTTTCAGTGACTCATATAAAAGAAGGTGCGCAGGATGATCACAGCAAAGGCCGATAAGAAAAAGTCTTACAACTGATACATTATATTTCTCATTATTCGATTCAAAGGTATGCCGTTGGTTGAGACGATGGAGTTCGTCAGCTAGAGGACCAAAGAATAGAAATATTTCATCTCGCTTCGATTTACTGAAACCTGTTTATTTTGAAACCGAAAAATTTGATTGTATAGAAATAAAAAACGAAAAAGACATTCAGTTAACTGAGA